CTTTAAGCGACATACGAATTATCGCTGAACTTTTAAAAGGTAACCTTAAATATTAATGCAATACTTAAATGCAGCGATCAATTATGAGTTCTTCCGTAGTTTATTCTTGCCTATCGTTTACAGCAGCAGTGTAACTTGCAGAAAGAAATCTCCACTAACAGGCGACCAGTTTGCAATCAAAAGAGCCAAGGCTGCAACAAGGAAAAGAAAGTCTTGTGCAAATGAAAACTCAGATCAAACGGCAACCAGAAGAGTTTCCAATAACCAGGTATTGAACTCACACTCTTTGGGTCCTGTCACTGGATCTAGCACCTAAAGGTTGTGAGTTCAATACCTGGTTAAGGCGGTGGATAACTTGGAGAGGGAAATTAACAGGAGATAACTGATAACTGACATCCATTAGACATGTCACGTGGAATTAGAACAGTCTACCCCAGGGAGCGAAATAAAGAGTTCAGTTCGACATTCCAACCACCTGAAGAAGGCCGGAGCGTACAACGGCCGAAACGTTGTGATAAATATGGCGACAACGATGAGGACAATAGTCCGAATAATGTAAATAGTTGAGTTAAAGGGAAATAACTGAAACACCCGGAAGGGATAAATGCAGTTTGTTACAACTTATTTTCAATTGAACCCTTTCATATTCATGGACAAACGTTTTGGTGTCATTATTAAAGGAAGAGAGAAAATCGCCATGTTGATACATATTATTTTATTCCGAGTACATTCGACATAGTACAATGTCATCATCAGAGTGTTCTTTATTTCAAGACAAATATTGTAGTGTTTATCATTTTTAAAGACAAAATTGCTGTGTTCATCTGAAAGTTAATTTTTTTGCTTGTGAAGTGAAGAGCGTTGATCACTTAACACCGCTTAAGGTCGAGGTAACTAAATATGGTGTGTCGAGAGATTTTAGGAAATAAGTATTAAAAATATTAGTGCAAATCATGATATTTTAAACTATCTATTGTGCACATTTTGAAACATTTGCGCAGTAGTCATAATTAATTTTATTAAGGTTTGGTTTCATTTTTTTAATATAGATAGCTTTGAGGATTTTTAGTTTATGTTAATTATTTTCATGAAAAGTATAGATGCATTTTCAACAAGAATTTTTTTTGAATTGAGAATGTAGATAGTTATGTTGTTATAAATGTTTAGAAATGTTGGACATATCATTCAAATGAAAACTCAGCTGCCGAGACCACGTGGTTGTAGTGTGTCCAAGATAAATATTATTTTTTCCGTTGAACATTCAAATTCCAGAGGACATTTAAATTTATAAACAATGTTGGTTTTCTGCAACACGTTAGTTGGTGGGAGGGGTCATTACGAATGCTTAAATTGGATATATTGAATTTAGTATAATTAATTTTATTTTTTATTGGGATCTCTGATGGATATATTAGTATTTATTAGTTTTTTAGGATATTTTCGTCCTGCTTATAATTAGAATGTATTTGATTGTGATATAAAAGATTAGTATGTTTGGCGTTAGTTGAATAAGTATCATATTCTATTTGTTTAGTATAAAAAAATCTCTGATGGAGCATCTTATTTGTTCATCAACAATATAGTTAGGGAAGTTATTATTAATAAGAGTTCGTTTTATATTATTTAGTTCACTATAGAAAATCTGTTTTGTGGATGAATTAATTTTTGCAGGATTTATTAAGTTTTTTATAATTGCTATTTTATAGTAATTTGGACATTCACTCTTATAGTTAAGAGTGCACAAATTTATGCTGCTATGTTTTTTTTTTATATGGGGAGATAGTGAAATTATTATTATTAGTGTTTATCAATATATTTAAAACAAAAATAATTTTGTTACTATTATTATTGGCATTTAGGTCCCACTCGTTTACTGTTGAAATAGCCAAATGCAACTGCCATTTCTACTCCAACAGTTTCTTTTCTCGCACTTCCCACCCGTGGAACTCCCTTCCGTTTACTTGCTTTCCTGATAACTACAATCTTCAAAAATTTAAATGCAATGTCAGTCGCTATCTTCTATCTTCTTGAATTCCGTTCATCTTTTTTTCTTTTTTGTAGTAAAGTTCACCCTGTATAAGGCCCGAGAGCCACTAAAAGTAGATGGTTACGATAATAGTTTATGTGGATAAGAGAGGAAAATAACGGTTAACTGTAGACTTGAACATATTAAGATTGTAGGTATCGAGGAAACATCCTCCTGAGAGTCTCTTCTGTAGGGCAGAGGTACGCGGGAAGAAGCTGTCTGAGTGAAACTTACTACTCTCCGATGGAATACGGATGGAATGAGGATGGTTTGCTACTATGTAAGTGGCATGGCAGGTCCTTGAAGGTCTGACCTGGTGGAATCAAGAAATGCAGTTCTTCCGATGGTAGTTGCGATAGAGCAGTGAAAGACTTGCCACATTTTGTCCTTTCTTCATTTCTCCCTATACTCAGTCTTTTTTTCACTTTCCCTGCGTACTAGTGACATTCACACTCAAACCCTGTTTCTGGCCTTCATCAACGATGTTCCTGATGTCACCAGTCCTCAAGTCGGCATCTAAACAGACGACACTAGCATTTACTCCTGTCTCAATAGTAAATCCGGCATTGCTGACAAAGTTAACCTGGCCGTTGGTCTCGAGAAGGACCTCCAATCTGTAGTTGACTGCGGCA